CTGGTTAGGCCACATCTGGAATATTGTGTTCAGTCTTGGGCCCCTTACCTTAGGAAATTGTTGGAAAGGGTTAGTTGTTTTGTTGTTAAGCACAAAGCTACAGAAAGGGCTATTTGTGCTTTTCCCACCACGGGTACTGAAACCCGGTTTCTAGCAGTACAAGTTCACAGATATACCGTTGTGCCACTGGGAGGCTGTTGGCAAGGGTTCAGAGAAGGGTTACTAGAATGGTGCCTGGGATGGAGGGGTTGTGATATGAGGAAAGGCTGAAATCTCTCAAATTGTTTTCTCTCAAAAAAAAGAAGAGTTAGGGAGGATATGATTGAGGTGTTTAAGATTGTAAAGGGAATTGATAGTGTTGATGCATCATCTTTTTTCATATTAAACAATGGGAATAGTAGGACTATGGGACACAAATATACATTTTTGCAAGGTAGGAGCTAAGACAGTTTCATTTTTCTAATGGTGGTTGGCCTTTGGAATGGGTTGCCTTCAGATGTTGTAGATGCAGTAAATTTAAGTGAGTTTAAGAAAAAACTTGATAAGTATATGAAGGATAAGGGCTGGGTTTAAGATTTTTAATTATAATTATTTTAATTTAGTTTAAAGGATGGGACAGCCGAGATGGACCAATAGGTCCCATGTTGTCCAAAAACATTCTGTTATAAGTACTTACCTCCCTCACATAAATAGCTATTATTGTTCAATGCTGCCCTGAATATGCAAAAAATTTATTTTGCTTGTCACAAGCCTTAACCCTTTCGAGACAGGTCACGGGTGAAAGACCACATCATCTCGTTTGTTGACTCACATTCAAAATTTTATTGAACTACTATTTCAGGAATTTATATCAATAACTTCATTATCAAACTGTAGATTATAATTCAAATTTTAGTATTATATATTACTCAATTTCTTAATTTAAAGCAAGTATTAAAAACACAGATAAACATCGATTTTTGTGTGTCACGTGGTATGTTGAATGTAGCACTGGTTCAAATTAGATGTTTGTGAAGTCAAAATACTAAGTCTATAGTTTCGTATAAATCAGAAACTCAAATTACTGATATTGACAAGATAGAATATAAAACAAGAGCCTCTTATCGTTTCAATTTGCTAAGATATTGTTCATGTAATAAATCAAACACAGTGGCACTCTGCCCACCTCTTTCCATTTTTGGAAATGCTCCCTTATATACACTTACTACCATATACGACAATTGGAACCAATTGGAAGCTCAGAATGTCCCCCTTTCTCAGCCATTTTAAAGGGCTTGGTGCCATTTCTTTCTTTTGAACCAATATTTCAACGGGGTAGGGTGTGTCTTTAGTCTGCTCAAAATTTCATATTTTTTTAGACTAAAAATACATCTTAGTTACTAAGCTTGATAAATTATAGTGGAATTC